CTCCTGTCCAGCTATTCAGTGACAGGTTTGTCACTTAAGGTAACACTGAACTTATTAACTGTTTCCACAGTAAAAATCTGCTTTGCTAATATAGGGTTTTCATGAGACAAAACAGTGTGACTTGGTATCAGGTGTTCAGCTCACTTCAAAAACAGAGGCTGCAGTTAACAGCTGATTGATTTGCTTTTAAAACCTCTACATACCCATTTTAAAAGAAGTGACTCCAGCAAAGCTGCATACACAGGAGCTCTTGTCACTTGTCCTTAGCAGTAGGCTCAGCACAGCTTGTCACAGCTGTCCCCAGCGCTCTTGTGACCGGCCACGGCAACCTGCTGGGTAGCCGCAGTGGATCAGCCACAGTGAGGCCAGCTCATCTTCTGCTACACACACCCACCTGTATCCGAACAGCAACTTGCCTGCACCATGCTGTCGCCCAGGCAGCCAGCATAAGCTACAGCTTACAGACGCCTACATTTGAACCTACGCTTCCATTACGGTCAGGAGAGCAGCTCAGCTCCCGCCAAGAGTGAAGCCTGTAACAGGAGTCCACATGCAGGTACCTAAATTTAGACACAGCTTGGAGCTGAATTCCATCCTCCATGTGAAGTGTATCCCTCTCCACCAGTATTGATTTTAAACAAATAGCAGAGAATTTCTGCAACTCCCACAGCACCAGGAGCAAGTAGGACTGCCACCACATCCAGTGACAGCAACAGGCATGCACCTCATTAGAAGGCAGGGAGAGAAGTGTGGTTGCATGGGCAGTGGCAGGGCTCACGCCAAATCTGTTATTTTTCTTTTCCAGACCTCCGACACACCTACGCGCTTACTTTTGGAAACAGCACCCGAAAAGCTTACCAGAAGGAACAAAGGAGACGAGCTTGTGCACTGTGAAAAATGCTTTAATGGTGCCTGTACAGCATTTGAAGTGACTTTGAGACAGGAAGAGGAACACAACACAGACAGAGAAGTTTTGAATGAAAGAGTTCATACAGCTTTAAACAAAATTTACAGGTGTTCATCTGCATAGCTTTTACTCTGCCTCTTCCTCAGCCTCCTCCTCAAACTCCCCCTCCTCCTCAGCTGTAGCATCCTGGTACTGCTGATACTCAGACACCAGGTCGTTCATGTTGCTCTCGGCCTCTGTGAACTCCATCTCGTCCATGCCCTCGCCAGTGTACCAGTGCAGGAAAGCCTTTCGGCGGAACATGGCAGTGAACTGCTCAGAAATGCGTTTGAACAGCTCCTGGATGGCTGTGCTGTTACCAATGAAGGTGGCAGACATTTTCAGGCCACGAGGTGGAATGTCACAGACCGCCGTTTTAACGTTATTAGGAATCCATTCAACAAAATAGCTGCTGTTTTTGTTCTGAACGTTCAGCATTTGCTCATCGACCTCTTTCATTGACATACGGCCTCTAAAAACAGCAGCTACGGTCAGATAGCGGCCATGACGCGGGTCACACGCAGCCATCATATTCTTTGCATCAAACATCTGCTGTGTTAGCTCTGGCACAGTTAAAGCACGGTACTGCTGGCTCCCACGGCTCGTGAGCGGGGCAAAACCAGGCATGAAAAAGTGCAAACGGGGGAAGGGAACCATGTTCACTGCCAGCTTCCGCAGGTCAGCATTAAGCTGGCCTGGGAATCGCAGGCAGGTGGTAACACCGCTCATGGTTGCTGACACTAAATGGTTCAGATCACCGTATGTTGGAGTAGTTAACTTCAGTGTTCTGAAGCATATGTCGTAGAGGGCTTCATTATCAATACAGTATGTTTCATCTGTGTTCTCCACAAGCTGGTGCACCGAGAGCGTGGCATTGTAGGGCTCTACTACAGTATCTGATACTTTAGGGGAAGGTACAACACTGAAAGTATTCATAATTCGGTCTGGGTACTCTTCACGAATTTTGCTGATGAGGAGGGTACCCATGCCAGAGCCTGTACCACCACCGAGGGAGTGAGTAAGCTGAAAGCCCTGGAGACAATCACAGCTTTCTGCCTCCTTTCTTACAACATCTAACACGGAATCGACTAATTCAGCACCTTCCGTATAATGGCCCTTTGCCCAGTTGTTTCCTGCTCCGCTCTGACCTGGAAAAGAGCCATTTTCGTATTAGATTATGGTCACTGCTTCCTGCTTACTAGCAAAGGTTAGGAGCCTCAGCCTACAGAGAAGCCCCAAAAAAGCTTTCATTTTATCAAGCATAGAGCTGTGGTTTCACACATGCACCTTTGAAATGGCTTGGTAGATACACGGAAAACATTCATTATCAATGATACAGCAGCCATTTAATTTCTCCTGATACTATGAAGGAGGTAATGAGAATCAGAAGAGCAACGCCCTCTTGCGCCTCCTCGGACCTGCTCTCCCAGCAGCTGCCATGATGCACCATCCGCAGATCCCCGGTATTTCACGCCCGTCATGAAGCGCCAGGATTAACCCCCCTCCCGGAGCCGCGCTTCCCTCAGGAGCATGTGCGGCGGTGAAGCCCGCAGTGCAGCGTCCCTGCCCTGCCCACCCCACCCCGAGCCGGTTACACGACAGGTCCCTCCCCCGCTCCCAGCACACTCACCGAACACGAAGTTGTCTGGCCTGAATATCTGGCCGAAGGG